GAGAGAGAGAGAGAGAGAGAGAGAGAGAGAGAGAGAGGGAGACCAACCTCCTCACTGTAGTGTACAGGAAGTCCTTGACTTATGACCCACAATTGAGCCAAAAAATTCTCTTGCTAAGGCACACGCTCGCTAAGTGAAGTTTGCTCCATTTTATGACTTTTCTTGCCACAGCTGTTAAGTGAAGAGAGAGAGAGAGAGAGAGAGAGAGAGAGAGAGAGAGAGAGGGAGAGAGAGAGGGAGAGGGAGAGAGATGGGAGGGAGGCTGGGGAGCGTGCGTACACACACAAGCGTTTTCTCCCCCCCCCTCCTCTTTCTCTCTCTCTCTCTCTCTCTCTCTCTGCTGCTGTTAACTTTTTCTCCAGCCCTGGGGAAGGAGGAGGGCGGAGAAGGAAGTGTGTTTTAATTTGTCATCTCCTGCAACAGAGAAATTGGAGCTGGGATTTCGGAGCAGGCTGGTGGAGTTAAAGCGGGGGGGGGGGGGGGGAGTTCCAGCACTTTTTTTGCAGCAAATAATAATAATAATTAAACAATCCTCATTTTCTGTGCATTTTCTACTCCCTCCCCTCTTCTGTCACCATCCCTCCGTTTGCAGAAAAAGGCAGAAGCCGCACACAGGATCCTGGAGGGACTGGGACCCCAGGTGGAGTTGGTAAGTGGAGCTTTACGTCGCCTCTTCCCTTCTTCTCTGCCCGCAACCCCCCCCCCCCCAATTCCTCCCTTCTTGTCTTGGACCGGGGATTTTCCTAGGTTGCAATTCCAGGTGTCCCTCGCGCATCAGGCGAGCCTTTGAAGGGCAGCCAAAGAGTTTCGGAAGATAATTTTACACATTGGCACAGAGGGCAGCAGCCAGGAAGCTCAAATCCGCTCCCCCCTCCTCTCCCCAGCCAACCTCCGCTGATTATTATCTGGCTGGCTGGCTGCCAAAGCAGGAAGCCGAACTGCTGGGTACAGACTTCCCCCAGGATCACCTGAGAACACCTTTTCTTGGGGAAAGGGCTGTGCCAACCTGCTGGGCACCTGGGTTTTGTTTTTCTCTTCCCTTCTTGATTTGAATTGCAAATTGGGGCAAAGCAGAAGGATAAAAGCATGCTTGTTTTTTTTTTTTTTTGTTTTTTTAAAATTGTTGTTGATTTGCAAGGTTGGCTGGATGCCCATGCAACTTTGCAAATCAATGAAGGTTTTTCCCGCTCCTGGACTGGTTTTGCAGCAAGGGAGAAGAGGTGTGTTGCAGAGGAGGGTTCTTACCTATTTGGTCCGGTTCAGTTGAATAGGTAGTAACTCCGCCGGACACATGACCTTACTGCTTCTATCTTTGGCGGCGCCATCTTGATTTACTGTTAGGCACAAGTGCAGAAGAATCCTCATTGAAGAAATTAATTTTTACTCCTTTTTTAGTGCTGTGTGCATGCACAGATCGTTTTGAGTGCAAATATGCACACTGGAGTGTGCAACTGTCGTGTGCACACACAATTTTTCGGGCACTGAACTGGTAGTAATGGCGACCGGAACCCACCCCTGGTGCGCTGGAATGCTTGTGGGGGTTTGGGCTATAAAAAGGGCATCCTTGGTCCAGCTTTATCCAGAAGGGATGTCCTGCACTGTCGTTAGGGTGCAAGGTCCATGTGTGGAAGGGAACAGGGGCCAGGATCATCGGAGTGTTGAGCCTATTTTGGCTTGGCCTTTGGTAGTTTTTTGCTGTAACTCATGTTGGGAAACTTACACTGTAGGATTTGCTGGGAATTAGGAATGAGTACAGGTATAGGGATGCAGTAGCTCAGTGGTTAAGACTTTGAGCTTGTCGATCAGAAAGTTCGGCAGTTCGAATCCCTAGCGCCACGTAACGGAGTGAGCTCCCGTGACTTGTCCCAGCTTCTGCCAACCTAGCAGTTCGAAAGCACATAAAAAATGCAAGTAGAAAAATAGGAACCATCTTGGATGGGAAGGTAACAGCTTTTAGTGTGCCTTCGGCATTGACCACATGACCATGGAGATGTCTTCAGACAGCACTGGCTCTTCAGCTTTGAAACAGAGATGAGCACTGCCCCGTAGAGTCAGGAACGACTAGCACATTTGTGCAAGGGGAACTTTTACCTTTACATTTTACAGGTATAGTATACTATAGCCCTTATTGTCATTATGCATCATGTATACAACAAAATTGGTGTTAGCCTCACTGGTGCAATCCATGGCAAAAAATACAAACAACATAAATAGTATAAAGAATAATCCCTATGCAAGTAATTAGGGGGAAAATAGAAAAAGGAAGAAAAAGAAAAAAACTAGTCATACGTTTCCGCGTGGGTGTGGAGTGATTGTGGTTGTGTTTAAGAGACTGAGGGCCCAAGGATAGAAACTATTTTTAAACCTGTTTGTTTAGCTGGCTATGCTTTGATGTCTTCTGCCCAATGGTAGAAGTGTGAAGAGAGTAGTATTCAACTTATAATTATTCCCTTCGTAACCATTGGAAGTTACAACAGGACTGGAAAAAGTGACTTACGGCTGTTTTTCACACTTGCAGCCTTCCCGTGGTCACGTGATCAAAATTCAGAATGCTTGGCAACTGGCATGTACTTCTGACAGTTGCAGGGGTGTGGGTGTGCATCACGTGATCTCATTTTGCGACCTTCTGGCAAGGAAAGTCACTGGGGAAGCCGGATTGGCGTAACTACCATGTTAAGAACTTAAGAACAACGGTGATCACTCAGCAATTCTGGCGAGGAAGGTTGTAAAATGGGGTAACATTTATTGAACAACTCTCTCACTTAAAAATAGAAGTTTTGGGTTCAATTGTGGTTGTAAGTCGAGGACCATCTGTGGTAAGTGTTACCTTCCAAAGCCAGCTTGAGAGCTTTTCCAGAGCAGGTTCAGCCAGATGTGTTACATGTAATCCTTGATTTACAACTTCAATTTGCATTGTTAAGCAGAGTGGCTGATAATTGGATCACACCTGATTATTATTATTATTATTATTATTATTATTATTATTATTATTATTATTATTATTATTATTATTATTATT